ATTTTGAACCTACGATAATCAATAAAAGTTAAAAATAGGGAGACTTGAATTGAAAGTTTTTGAATGTAGGATAATCACAATAAAGTAGAAAAGTACACGAAACAAAATTAACATTTAAATTATTTTGTTAACAAAGAATTGGCGATTTGAAAATATCTAAAATAATAAAATAAAATAATTGGGTGAGATGGGGTTGTTTGCTGAAGGAAATAAAAAAATAAATAAATAAATAAATAAAAGAAAGGAAACGGACCCCTAAAGTGGGGTACGTGGTGTTCCGTGTCGTGGCAAAAGCGGGTGAATTACGGCCCAATCATTTCACCACCCACGCCCCCACGCGCCGATGACGCTTGTTTCCTTTGTTTGGATACTAGATTAGTATAGCGTACTCCATTTCCTAATTCCTAATCCTACCCTGGATTTTACACGTGGCCCTTTCACCTGGGCCCCCACCTTCCTTCTACCTCCAAATTCCTTCTACGCCCTCCTCCTTTTTTTATTCTTTTTTCTTTTATAATTCCTATTACATTGTTTTGTTATCAAAACTACCTTCTCTACGGTCAAAGCGAGCATAACTCAATTTTAATTGGCATCAAATAAGTTCGATGCGAGGTATCTTATATAATCGTTTGTAACTCTACAACTAAGTTCGAAAGCAGCCATATAAGTAGTTACATAGTTTTGGTTCTTCGTTTTGAGAGCTATACATAAAATTCATATTAACTTAAATAGCTCGATTTATTAGTTATTTACCTGCTGAATTGACTAGATTTCAGCATAAACACCTCCTACTTCGAATAAATTTGAACTGTTTGGATTCTCCTCATTTAATATTTTATTGGGCAATTTCCGTCTCTCATAGATTAAAAACCACTTGAGTTTGAAGCTACTGGAGGGTAGGGGTGATGGAACCAGTTAGGAAAGGGGAGGACGAAAACGAGAAGATAGAAGGAGATGATTATTTAGAATCATTTTTCAATTGGTGTTTCTAATGACGCTTAAAAATCATTAATACTAAATAGTTAGATTTTGAAACATTATAACTAATTAAATATAACTATAATTTAGATCTCATATATTATATATAAATCCCAGAGAACCTTTATTAAAAAACATAAAGACACTATTGGAAAAATATCACATCCTTTTACTTTTGTAATAATTAAAAATGTTTATCTGTTTATCAAAAATAAAAATAAAAATGTTTATCTCGAGGTATAAATGTTAGTCAAATATAAAAACAAGAAAAGAAATCCCTAACTCAGGGTTGATGTATCTTGTTCATTTATTAGAAGTTGAAGGTTGAATTTTCTATTTTTATATTTGCTGTATTAAAAATAGAAAAGAAAATAAAATGTTAACACAAATGCAAATCTTAAAAAATAAAAAATAAAAACCATCATCACAACTTCACACGTAACCCAAGGTGTTTAATCAACATACATGAAATTTCTGTCACATTCACAACCACCATGCATATTAATATCTTATGGAAACGTTAATAATATTTTAGAAAAATGGATAAAATGAAAATTGAATCATTTACGTAAAACGACTTCTTAACTCCCAAATTAATTATTCTCATCAATATATTAAAATAGAAACCTCGAGATTAATTATTTACCAAAAAAGTGGGATTACAATTTACATTGCATTTCCTTGGGCTCTTTACCTAACCAAAAATTTGTCGTAACCAAAATTTAAATTTAAATTTGAATAAAATAAAAAATTAAAAAAAGAGAGAGAGTAGAGTGGAAGTTCCATTTCTGTCAAACAATATCATTTGCCCTCCGCTTTACCCTCTTCTTCAAAACCACAGCTCAACGACGCTGTTTTATGGAGCCAAACAGCGACCCACCACCGTTCTGGTCGGCGCCGCCGCTCTCCTCCGCCATGATCCGCCGCCGTCGCTCTCCGTCTCCGCCGTTTATTTCCCTGCCTG